TCATTGGGGTTATTTAGAGTCCATTTAGTGTCCGTATTGCAAATAATACGAAATACAATAAAACTGTACAAAAAAAGATAATTTTGCAGTGGTTTCTTTTTTTTGTGTGTCCTGTGTACAGTATGTGAAGAATGAGGCAAAAGAAGAGAAATGCACAGAGAAGATGCTGACAGACACGTTATAGAGAGACAGCTTTTAAAGACAGTTTGTCATTACAGACTGAAGCTGCTCCTCTCTGTCTTCCTTTCACTGAAATTGGGTTTGCAGATGGCTGGAAGAATCTTGTCTTACAGGAAGACAAAGAAAGATCGACTGAGCGTTAACTACTGTAAGACCAGGAAACACTGATGAAATCATCAATATCCGAAACAATGAAAGTGTCAAATAAAAAAAGAGAAATGATGAACAGAAAGCCTGTGAGTTTATCACAAGATCTGAGACAAAGTGCTGTGTAAGTGTTGGTGGCAGCCCTCAGATGGATCAGCTGAATCACATTCCCAACATGCCAACCCCAGAGCTCTCTGGTTCACCCAGTGACAACAGAGTTCAGCTTGAAGCATATTTCACGGCTGAAAGTGACGCAGGAGCAAACACCACTCAGAGCCTGGGAATTCCTCAAAGGCAGGAGCAGGAAACAGGACAGTTCATCTCTCTGACACGAGGGTCCAAGAGAGGCAGCCGTCAGACACTTTATTCTTTGTGTGACTGAGGCTTTTGATGTGTACAGATGTGAGAACAGAAGTGATATTCTTCATAACATCTTGTGAGGCCAGTTTAAAGGTCCCCTATTATACTGTTTTTCATCAATATATAATATATACAAAACATGTCTCTGAAGTGTTTGGCTTGAAACACCAAACAGATCGTTGCAGCATCCCATAAACCCCTCTGTTAAACTTTCAGCCCTGTTTCCAAAGTGCTGATTCTCTGTCTGTTACTTTAGATGAAAATAAGGAGCCCCTCCCCACGCCCCTCTGAGAGAGATTTGGTTAAAAAGAACACAATGGTGCTCTAGGAGGAGATTCAGGTGATAAGGGTGGGTGGGGGGTACCTTGGTTGGTGATTGGCTAATAGTTACACAAGCCAAAAAATCGTTATGACATCATAAAGTGGCCAAAATCTGATCAGCTCGTTTTCAGACAGGTTTTTATATAAATGGATCAGGACAAAAAGTGAGAGAATCTTTTTTCCTGAAACTTTCAGAATGTCTTTACACAGAGGGGACACATGTTGATGTAGAAGAGACATGAACAAGTGGATTTTGCATAATTGGTGATCTTTAAAGCCCCTGTCACACTGTCCCGAAGTTGACACCCGATGGACACACGAATATGGAATTGTGAATTTCGCACGAAGATGGCCCCGAACCACACACAAAGGCAACATTTACATTACATTTAAGACATACAACTGCAACGAAAGTAACACAAACAATTATGTTAAAGTACTATGATACTGTACTGATATCTTCAGACTTTGTTCTTTGCTTTCTCCGTCTTTATATGTAGAAGATATTAGGTTTTCTCCGTCATGTTGTTGTTTCCATAGCAACAACAACTTCCTGTCAACTCGCCTTCAAAATAATATATTATATCCTTTTCAGTTTCACAGAACACAAATTGGGTTATTTACATAATATGTTTACATGATTTTGTTGTGCAATAAAACAACCCGATGGACACACGATAAAGGAAATGTTCAAATTCGGCTGTGATCGTAGCAACATCGGGCCATTCGTGAGGGCATCTTAAGCCTTCGTATGACCGCCGGTGGAGTTTCTCAGGCTCCGGCAGCAACTTCGTGAGCGGTGTCAAAATCTTTGACATGCCAAAAAATTGCAGAAGGACCTTGCGAAGGTTCATTTCCGTGTTGAATTCGTGTGTCAATTTTGCCCTACGTAAGGCCATCGTGAGGGCATCTTGTTATCATCGGTGCCATCGGGCATTCGCCCCGATCAGAGTGAGGGGGAAAACACCGATGATAACACGAAGATGACACGATTTGACAAGATGCCCTCACGAGTGCCTTACGAAGTTGCCGCTCACGAAGTTGCTGCCGGAGCCTGAGAAACTCCACCGGCGGTCATACGGTGGCTTAAGATGCCCTCACGAATGGCCCGATGTTGCTACGATCACAGCCGAAGTTGAACATTTCCTTTATCGTGTGTCCATCGGGTGTCATTTTCGGGACAGTGTGACGGGCTTAAAGGAGCAATGAACAGATTTTTAGATGTAGAGTCATTTACTAATCAAACATTATAGTTGAGTGTTTTCAACTATTACTAAGTTGCTTAATGGGAAATGTAGGTTACAGAGTGTTTGGGTTTGGCCTAAACTAGTTTGGGTAGATTTGGCAAAAACAGAGATTAAAAAAGCAAACTGTTGAAGTTATTATTATAAAACACATTAAACAAAAGATTGTATATTCTTTTGTGATATAACTTAAGAAAACAATCATTTGTGACCAACTAACATTATTTGTATACACATAGGTCAGTTGGCAGAAGGACATTTCATTTGGACAAAATAAGTCTTCATGTCTCTTTGTATTTGACTTTTGTTATCTTTTGTTTTGTGACAAGTTAGTTGATGGAAATGTATGACACACAATGTGCTGAAATAAATATAAGGTATTAAAAGGGGACATAGTGTATCAGGGCACCATAACGGAAATGGGCCATTTAAGCACTCATGCGCTGGCTGCTAGCGTTTAATTTAAAACCAATTTGTAGAATAATTCAAATAGATTCAATCATGAAAAATATGTAGCTACCTATTTGCAAGCTTTAAAATAAGTTAACCCTGGCAGGATTTTGTGGGCTTCCTCGCTCAGAACACTCAACAAGCCTTTCAGATTCAGCTCCTCTTCCTCTATCTTTTCCAAGGTGCGCCTTATTTTTCTCGCAGGCCATACAGAGCATAGGTAGGCTTATTTGGAGTTGGGCTTTAAAAGATACGTGCTAAAATGCAGCCTTTTAGAAAGAGGGAGAACACATGTAACTTTAGTATAAGAAAAATATGGAATTTTGTTTGTGTCAAAACCGTGTTCAAATGTTCTGGTAGAAACCTATAATACAAGTATGAACTATAGGGCTGCTCGATTATGGCAAAAATCATAATCTCGATTATTTGGGTCAATAATTGATATCACGATTATTAAAAACGAATATCCATTTACTTTGAAAACATCCATTTATTGGAGAAAAAAAATGTGAATAGTATGTTTTTAACAGTTGATTACCCTGAATTTTAAGTATAATTCAACTGAAAAACCAATAAAATAATAAAAAAATCGTTTTATTTGGATTACGTTGTTTTCGTAATCGTTGCAAGCCATAATCGTAATTGCGATTAAAATACGATTAATTGAGCAGCCCTAGTATGAACCTGTACATGCATAACATGTTCCTTTAAGTGGGTAAGGTATTTTGAATTAAGTGTTTCAGACAATGCCACAACACTAATGTTCAATGTTCCACCTGAGAAAAATGTACAAGGCACATGCATTAAGTAATACAATTCAGGAAATTCGAGAGAAAGGCCAGAGTATAGGTGAATACATGTACTTTCATTCACCATCTCAAAATAGAAATAGAAAAAGCATTAAATTGCTGTAGCCCTCCAATTAGGGTGGATGAAATCATTCAGCCTTTTCAGAAAAATAAGTGCTGTGGTGATTCACAGTGTGCGGAGAGTGGAGAGTTCTTCTTCACCTGGAGTTTCAGCGTCATTACCTTCTCTGACCTCACAGATGTTGCACAAGAGGTAAATATATAACAAGTACACGAAGAGGGGCTAATGCTAAAGCTTAACACACACTCCATTAGCACTGAGCAAGAGTAATCATGTTCATCTCCCTCCCTCTGGTTTGGTACAGAAGTAATGATGGTAGAAGTTGTATTTATAATTACCGTCTTCCTGCACAACATCAGTACCCCATTTGGATTTTGGAGAGGAAATATCTCTACAGTTTATGGTATTGAACAAACACTAATGTGCAGGAATCCTAAAGCAGGATCTGTTTTAAATAAAATTACAGCTCTGGAGGATCGTGGGTTTCCTTTTGGGAGCAGGACCAAGAGCTTAGTGAAAGATTCCCCCCACATGTTCTATAAGCAGCTACACATGTGCTCAATGAAGACAAATATATGTTAACTTCACCATGCATCGAGGCAGTGTCAGTTATAGGTGCCCCCCCCCCTGTGGTTAAGGGTGGTCAGAAGACGTGAAGTGAGAGCGCAGCATCAAACATGAAACCGGATTATGCAATATTTATCTGTTCTCTTCTCAGGGAGCACGGCACATGAACTCGGGGAACTTTCAGAAGCAAAGGATTAATTTGCACGCATTGGAATTAGCGCTCAGATCAAAGAGAGTGAGGTGTCATGGGAGTATCCAACCTCCCCTGTATCTAGAATAGAGATTTCACTTCGACGTGTACCACTTCTATTTTCATAATTATACGGAGAGAGAGGAGGGAGAGAGAGAGAGAGGGACGAGAGAGAGAGAGAGAGAGGGGGACGAGAGAGAGAGAGAGGAGAGAGAGACGAGAGAGAGAGAGAGAGAGAGAGAGAGAGAGAAAAGGGGGAAACATCAAGGGGGGATAGCTGGAGTGGGATTTAATTAACCACCATGTATATGCAACACAAGTCTAGCAGACCAAAGCAAAGATAGTACACAAGGAAGGACAGAGTCAACAGCGAGCAGAACAAAGTTAGCTAAAACATACACAGGGATTTTCTCTCCAGCTCGGAGACTAAACCAGACTAGCCGACTTTATTCATATTACTCTGGGGGAAATACAGATTGTGAATTGGGACTGTGTTTATTTGCAGATTTCCTCTTTATAAACTGAAACTGCTGCATCGCTTTTTACCCTGAAGGTACACCATTATGTAAGGATCCAGGCAAGGACAAGAGAGCCATTAGCTTTAACACTTGTGGGTAAAACACACACACACATAAAACACACACAGACAGACTGAGAGTCATTCCTCTTACCGTCACAGTCACCCAAGTGGGCCACGTTTCCCTGTTCAACATCTTGCTCGAACGGCAGTCTGCAGAGGAGAAGAGACACGGCCATTAATCAGAGGAACCAGCGGCACAGATCCTCTCTGATAGAGGAAAACCATCTCAATGTTACAGCAGAGGACACGTTACAAGGCAGCGTGTATCCCTGCGAGCTGCTTCAACACTTTGATTGTGTAAGGCTTTGTTTTTATCATGGAAAAAAACCTTCATTAATACAGCAAAAGAACCCAGGAGGCCCTGAGCAGGATGCAATAATCACCATTATAATTTCAAAGATTACCACTTATGCCTGAAGGGGCAGTAATTAAGCAGATTGAATTACAAATATTTCTAGGTCAGCATAATCGTCTTAACGTTGAATGTTTGTGGCGTAAATATAAAATCCACATCTTTAAGAATTAAGGAGTTAGAGTGGGAAAATCTGCATTATTCATTAATATGGATAAAATGATATCACAAGATCATCATATAAGGTATAAGGAAATTCATATATAGCTCGGTGGAAAAGTTACAAAAGTGAGTCTCAAACTTTACTCATAACTTACACGTCTACAGAAATATCAAAAACATTTCTACAACTCAGTACTCTTGATTTAAAACTCATTTCCCATTCTAGCAACAGGGGAGCGTGGAAAACTCAAAGGAGTAAAACATATGATGAGGTGAGGAAGCCGAGAGGAAATGAGAACAGCACAGAGTCCAGGTGCTCCCAAAGAAAAACACAACTGCTGTTAATCATGGCTCATATCAGGGAAAACAGCACGGAGTAACAGGCCTTGGTCAATGTGTGTGTGTGTGTGTGTGTGTGTGTGTGTGTGTGTGTGTGTGTGTGTGTGTGTAAACTGAGGGGGATTGAGTGGAAATACCTTTAACTAATTGATACAACACACACCACACATGCTATAATCGTCAATACATAATGTAGCACACTTTATAACTCATTTGTACCTAAACCAGAGACACACTGGGTTTTGAATCTGATCACACACACACACACACACACACACACACACACACACACACACACACACACACACACACACACACACACACACACACACACACACACACACACACACACACACACACACACACACACACACACACACACACACACACACACACACACACACACACACACACACACACACACACACACACACACACACACACACACACACACACACACACACACACACACACACACACACACACACCTGATTAGAGTTCAGCCGGTGCTCTCTGGAATGTGAGGTTAAGCAGATAGAAAGTCAGAGACACTGCTGATACAGACTGTTATGACTAGGACTTATGGAGCCATTGAACTGACTCATCTTTGGATAAAGAAGTTAATTCCTGGTCTTTTCCAGGATTAAAAGAGTCGGGGAACGACTTCAGAATAGATGGATGCTTACAATGTGACTGCAAACATGTATTCAGTTGTGTTGCTCATGTTCTGTTTTTTTACTTTTTAATGTAAACCTTTTAGTAACATGAGATCTAGTTTCTCTTGTATCATCATTGTTTCAAGTCATTGCTCCAAAATAAGAAATCTGCCATCCAGGACCTCCCAAAGGTCACAAATAAAGCACTTTATATCTTATTTGTCTTATCCACACGCACAAGAAAATACATCTTACTATTAACTCATGTTGATATCAAGCCATATTTTGTAGAATGAAAAATATATAAGTTGACATATGTAGCTTAGCGCAAGTTCAATCAAGAAGACACTATCATCAACGTTATCTCAATAAGCGATCAGGGGCGTCACGCCCCGGCTAGCCAATCATCGCACCTGCTAACCCCTTTAAATCTGCTCTCCCCTCCCTGTCAGTTGTCATTTCAGGTGTCAACGCACAACCCTCCTCCACCCCTTCGCCTCCTGTCTCCTAATACAGGGCCAAGCTAAAACCTTCTCCCTTCAGATCGGACCAAACTACTATCACCACCACCAGTGTCTAGACCCCGGGGGGTTCATCAGAGCGGTTCTTTCCCTCCTGAATGATCATCCTGCAAACCCGGGGCCTAATCGCCAAAACATCACAACAGTTACTTGTTGTAATAGGCAGCAGGTGACTTTATGCAAGCGTATTTAAGTAACATTTAGATACATAGGAGCTTATTTAAAGTTACATGGCTACAAAGAATATTTGTAATGCTGGCCAACATCTTTTTATTTTTGCTGAAAAAAGGCATTATAATGCAATATATTGTGGTTAATATGGATGGATTCCACAATGTTTGCTTGATCACTTGTGGCAATGCGTCCAAACCCCTAACAGCACTTTGTATTGAATAGGAAAGTCTTTACAGAGAAGTAAATAATCATTTAAAGATCTACATGGCTCCACTAATAGCTCCGTTACACTGAATCACTATCTGGCCTACGAACAACATTGGCACAAAAAGCTCTTTGGAGGAGTGACGGAGCAGGAGTCAGTGTTGCAATTAGCTAAAGGCTCGGGCAGCAGCGCAGCCAACATCCACGCTTCTAATGCCTCGAAATCACCGTGACAAATGAATGCAAGTGCAGCGAGAACCAGCAGCAGCAGCAGGTTGTCACCCTAATAAAGAAACATGTTTTGTTTTGCTGACTCTCACGCACTGTTGGTCATTACTTTGAATACATTTGATTGGCCCGTTGGTCTCTGTGTGCATGCAAGGTTTTTTTATTGTTTTGTTTATGACAGTGCTTTTTATATCCGGCACATTCTTCTCGGTACATTGGTTGTATATTTTAAGACTTAATCATAAAGAGGAGATTGATAGAGACCATATGTGTGTTTACAACAATGATTCCCGGTACTTGTAACCCAGGGGGGGTATTTCTCCTTTTAGGTATGTTTAAAGATCGTGGTTCAGCACATGCAATAGAAAATAATAATTAGATTAAACAAATATACCTAAATACTGATTGTATATGACGCCCAAGCTTCACATGTTCAACTGATTGTTATACAGATCAAAACACACTGAAACATACCCATTCCTATACAAAAAAATGTGCTTATTGTAGTGAGGAAGCTACATATTTTAAATTTGTATTTGGAATTTCTAGCCTACAGTTTACAGTAATTAAAAAGGTGTTTGAAACTACTGTATTGAGTTTTGAAACTGAACAAGTTGGTTCATGCCTTTAGACTCATGTAATACATTTCAACACGATGGTAATTAGCATGAAAAAAATATATAGCGATCAATTTGACAGGATTGTTTTGTTTCAATTGTTTCATTCTCACTGGCAGAAACAAAAACAGGTGGGAATTGTTTTGTCTCCCCTTGTTTAGCAGTACGATAATTCACTCTGGGACAATAACAAACTGATTCGCACAACAATAAAACCAAACATAAAACCATGTTTCCTCGCAATAAAACTCCAACAACTATTTGTATACACAATACAAAACTTCCTTTCCTCGGAAACTTACCAAATTACAATCTAATGTCAAATAACATCCCCTGCTAAACTCTCCTCTGGCGTCAGTTTGCAATGAGAGGTTGCATTAGTCCACAAGGAGGAAAACCACAGTAACTCAATGCACAATCGATTGCCGAGTTGACTGCCCTTGGAAAATCAAATCAAGACAGACACAGAGGCCTTTAATAGTATGAGCAGGTAGCCCTGGGTGGTCTAAAGTCCTGTTTGTCTGTTCTGCTGGCACTACACCTGTGTTCAGAGGGCCTAATTCAATAAGAGCCCTGACTAAACAGAGATTTGATTTCACAGGAGGGAGGCCGCTAGGAAGACTGCTGAGTTTCAGTAGCAGGAGGAAAGGTCACACCGACATACACACACACACTGATATTCACACATATCTTCACAGCACACTGTCTGAAAACATCTGCAAAACATGGACATGAGTTACGCAAGAGAAACAAACACAGAGCTCTCCTCTCCGTCACACACCTACCCAGTGTTTACGACCAGCGCTTGATAACAAACAAAGTGAAAGAACATAGCATTGTTTAAACACAGCTGCAGACATCTTGAATCAATAATGTAGATAGTGTGCGGACTGGTTGACAGGCAACTTAGAGAGAGCAGATGTTACTCAGAGGCTCAAGTAACCGCAGATAGAACCAAGGACTTCTTGACCAGATAAAATATGGGACATGTCTAAGGATGGTCTGCTGGGTGTGCTGTTGGGAAAAGAACCTTGAGAGGAATGATAACATGGAAATAAATCAAATCCAAACAAAACAAAACAACAATAAATTGGAACAAGAAGAGGAAACAGGGCAAGGTGATAAAACAAAACTACAGACAGACTGAAAGGGGCCCTATTATGCCTTTTGGGGTCATCCCTTTTCCTGTGGTGTGTTATATAGGTTTTTGTGCATGTAAATGGCCTGCAAAGGCTTCAAATCCCAAAGTTTTTCCCACCCCCCCCCCCCCCCCCCCTCTTCCGGAAACACCGCCATTGGACTCCTTTGTTTGTAATGACATTACTATGTAACTTTTTTGCTTTTATTGGCTAGTTCTCCAAAACATTGTACGTGATAAGCTAAGGGCGGGACATCTCTAAGCGGTTGACCAATCACAACAGAGCCAACCAGCTAACCAATCAGAGCAGACTGGGCTCTGGTTTCAGACAGAGGGTGAAAAGAGGTGCTGCAGCACAGGCAGTAAGAGCTTTTTGAACATTAAAGCATGGAAACATTAGACAGTAGGGGCACACGATACAAATATGAACCTGAAGATGAGCATAATAGGGCCCCTTTAAAGAAAAACTAAAACTAAAATGGACCAGGTGACACTATATTGATGCAGGATGTGGTGTGTGTGTGTGTATTTTCGGAGTGATGTCTACACTATTGGAGAGATGTCATACCTCGTTCCAGGCCTGAGGAAGGAGCAGGTGCTTCCTCGGGTCCAGCCACAGTAAGGATCTCTCGAGGCGATACAGTTCCTGCAGAGACAAGAAAAATCCCTTGAAAATCAATCTCCTTTTCACTTTAACATTTTCTTTAGCTTAAATGTTGAATTCTTGACCCCAACATACTTTACAGGGGCTCTCCTCCAATTTCACTCATGAAGTGCTGGGCTGAAACTAACGTATTACTTTCATTATTGATTAATTTAGGGATTAAATCATACTGTGTTATATTGATTTTCTTCTTCCAAGAAACCTTTTCATTTTCATTAATTCCCAATCTCTTCAGGCTTGAAACGTTGATGTTATTCATCACAGTGAATAATTGTTCCTAATAAACTTCAATATCGAGTAGGGTGGAAATGCCGTTGAGGGAAAAATCTGGATTTATTTCAAGTGCTTTTTATTACTTCAAGCCATTTATGAATGAAGGGTAAAAAGATTGCTTTGATGAGACATTGCAGATACAGATGCAGATTAACGTTTCTGAATACATTTATAAGTGGTAAAAAGTATGTTTATGTTATTGAAACATTCATGGCTTTGAAAGCTCTCTGTAAAAGAAACATTTTATTAATGCAAAAACAGTTTCACAAGCGTTTTGATTCTCATACAGCATCGTTCATGAATGTGATTTATTACATTTTCAGCTTCATCTCTAAACATCAGATGTTAGGATGCCCTCAATCAGGTCAAACTGAAGTCCCTGTAAGTTCATTTTTATACTGCACTGGTGTCATGAATAGAAATTACTGTATGCCTGAAAGGGAATCAAATATCTGTCGTTTATTTTCAAAAGTGGATGTCAGAGATGTCAAGCAGCATAAAAGGGATTAATTGTAGTTGACCGGTAATGTTTTAAACCTCTGACATGGTCCTTTAAAGGCCGATTGCTTTTGGTTAACTGCACAACATGACTTTTTAATGATGGGTCTGTGAGAGCGGTTAAACGAGGTTTAGATGTCAATCTGCAACTGAAAGCAGACTGTAAAATGTTGAATTATTAACGATTAGTGTGGAAATAAATGTAGTATGAAAGGAAACACTCACAAATACTCTTCGAAAACCTGAAGCTGCCGAAGCGTGACTAAGAATTCTCGAACACACACACACACACACACACACAACCTTAACTCTCAGTCTCTCATCTAAACACAAACACTCACAGACTAAATGCACCTCAGAAGCATGTGAGCCTTTCTTAATGTGCTCTGGATTACACGCTTGTGTGACTCTATGGGCTCAGTGAACAGTGTGTTCACTGAGCACGCTTGACGTACTGCTGTGTGTGTGTGTGTGTGTGTGTGTGTGTGTGTGTGTGTGTGTGTGTGTGTGTGTGTGTGTGTGTGTGTGTGTGTGTGTGTGTGTGTGTGTCTCAGTGGACGCTAACGGGCCACAGGCATGGAGACTAGGTAAATGTGCCAGTGAGAGAGGAAGTGTGTGTAGGTGAAAATATAATTACTTAAAATATATGTATTTTAATGTTTAATTGTGTATGATTAGTGGACTCAGGGTACTGCTGCCCCTTCAGTTTAAGTTAAACACATTCACAATGGCAAAACGCCAGAATAAAAACTAATCTGGAGCTTCTGATAATCCTATAACGGCTAGATAAAGTAATTCAATATAATCTCTCTTTTATATTAAAGAAAGTGAATTAATGATGATCACTTCTGGTTATGCCTTATACTTTACTAAAACTGATGATGTATCCATGTCCGATGCTTCTATGTTTCATCAAAACAGTAGTTTCAAACAAAAACTAAATGAGACTGATAAACGTCATCGCGCCGAGCCGCCTTTAGCTTAGCGGTGGTTTTGAAGCCATCCGTGATGTAGTTTGTTTAAAGCCCATCGTTAGCTTTTTACTTCTGGCGATTGCATTAACGCTTTAAAATCATAACGATGTGTTAATATGTAGAGAATTTAGGAAAATCCAATAGAAATATCCCTTTGCCATGATAACTACTTGGCCTACAAAAGATGTCCTCGCTGCACCACTCAGTACATCATCATACACTCACTCAGTTACATCACAATTATATCATTAATGTTAATCTAAAAACAATAATCATGATTGCAGCGAGGCTTTACAAGGCTTTATCATATACAATGCTATAACATATAAAACCAACATCAAGCTCCCAGACTTACTCTTGTACGTCCCATAATAAACTCCAGAGATGGTTTGACCCTTTTTAATAGACCCCTCTCCTCTGACTATGTTAGACGTAGAGTGGGGGATCTAACCGTAAGCCTGTGTCACTACAGAATATAAGATCCTCGCTGTGGCATTCACCGTTGGGACTTTACATGACATTACACTTACTCTGCTGAAGTGAGGATGTACCATCTCTATATGGCACATCAAGTAACCTGGGGCCATTCCCCTGATCATATCGTACATCTGCTGGGAGTTCAACTGACTTATTTTCTGATGATGTTAAGCCTACCTTAAACTCCAGGGTTCCCAGGATGTACCTTACCATGTTATTTTGCACGACATGCCTTCTGCTTTTCAGCTTTTGCACAAAGCAGGGCGAGCATGCATTTTTAAAGTGACACTGGATTGAAGCTTCGATATCATGTATTATGCTGTCAGTTGCCTACTTGTATTATTATCTTTTAAAATCATAGTTCATCTATGATAAAGATACGATTACAAGCCCAGGTAAAATGGAATCCTTTTATTTAATAGTGAGGTATTACACTTATGGCTTTTATTAGATTTCCTCCCAATTTACAGGAGCATTTTATTGCAGCAGTTAACAGATTATCACTTTGCTCAAGGGCACAGTGACAGTTGTTATTAGGTTTTGGTATGGAGGGAAATTAAGGTCAGCAGCAACCCTTCTGCTGGCCGAGGTGCAGAGTGTCAGGCTCAAGGACACTTGTAAAAGCCAGATGGTTATTAAATGGTCACCTAACTTCTTATTAAGCCCCCTTGCTGCCCTTTCTGTTTCTGGACGGACAGTGCAGGGTTCAGACTTACTTCATGCATCGGGAGTAGAGCTGGCATCGAGCCAGCGGCACTCTGACCAAACAGGAGGGGAAGGCGAGCAGCAGAGTGTGGCTCGGCCGGTCCAGAGTGAGAGAGAGAAGCTGCCTGTTCTGCACAGAGTCCTCAGCACACCTGCAAGACAAGACAAGGGACGTTTATTATACATGGCACATTTCAACACCAATTCAAATGGCTTTCCACAAAACATTTAAAGCATTAAAGGTGCCCTATTGTACTGTTTTTCATCAATATATTATAGGTCTCAGATATATACAAAACATGTCTCTGAAGTGTTTGGCTCCAAATACAAAACAGATCATTGCAGCATCCCATAATCCCCTCTGTTTCAGCCCTGTTTCAAAAGTGCTGATTCTCTGTCTGTTACTTTAGATGAAAATAAGGAGCCCCTCCCCATGACCCTCTGAGAGATATTTGGTTAAAAAGAACACAATGGTGCTCTAGGAGGAGATTCAGGTGACAAGGTGGGTCGGTATTACCTTGGCTGGTGATTGGCTAATGGTTACACAAGCCAAACAATTGTTATGACATCATAAAGTGGCCAAAATCTGATCAGCTCATTTTCAGACAGGTTTTTATATAAATGGATCAGGACAAAAAGAGAGAGAATCTTTTTTCCTGAAACTTTCAGAGTCTCTTTACACAGAGGGGAACACATGTTGATGTAGAAAAGACATGAAGTGGATTTTGTACAATAGGTGACCTTTCAAAGCATTAAGCATTTGTCAACAGCTTTAAAATCTAAATCTGCTCAAAGATTGTTGGTCAACCCTGTCAGAGACTTTATGACTCAGCATACCACAATAACCTAGTGAGGCCACAACATCATCTCGGACCCAAACCATGTTCTGAACAGCGAATATGAACTGCTACCATCTAATCGGAGATACAGGGTCCCGCGGTTCAATAAAGTCAGACTGAAGCATCCTTTGTGCATCAGTCAATCCTCACAGTAAACACAGAGCTAAATCCCAGGTCAAACGCACTAAAGGGTCATTGAGCCTGTTTTCTCTCAGTGATTGTGCTGTTACTGTATGTTAAATGTTTATTTATTTTTTTATGTATTGTGTCTTGATATTTGTCTATCTTGATGTTACACATGGAGCTGCTGCGATGCAAGTCAAATTTCAGACTTGATCTGACCATTAAAGTATTATTGTATCGTATTCGTAGTAAGGTACAACAGAAGCACGCTATGAAATGACATTGAAGTACATTTAAATAGGATGCAGTATATTTCTATTTAAATTAAAGCCGTGTCTTAAAGGACTTTTATTGCACCTTCTTCCTTCAACTTCTTATATTTGTATACATATTTATTTAGTTTACAATAGTGCAACTGTCACAACACCTAGTTTCCCCCTGGATGAATATTCTGATTCTGAAAATTAAAAAGCCAAGAGGATACAAATTGAAAGAAGTTATAATAGAATAAGACAGGTTATAAAACACAAGAATACAAGTTACAGTGCAGTGTAAGGTATGAATAGTTATTTAATGAAATGCAGAGGTAGAAAGTATAGTCTTCAGCCTGGATTTAAATGAGTTGCAGCAGTCGTGCAGTTTTCTGGGAGTTTGTTCCAGAAATATGGAGCGCAATAACTGAACGCTGCTTTTCCATGTTTAGTTTTCACTCCGAGGACAGACAGTAAACCCGTCCCAGATGACCTGAGTGATCTAGATGGGTCATAATCTAGCAGAAGATCAGAAATGTGTTTTGGCCTTTAACCATTCGGTGCTTTATAATCTGTAGTATTTACTTGAAAGAGAGCAAGCCACTGTAAAGACCTCTAAACTGGAGTGATTTGATCTTTGTGTTAGTTAGCAGAACACACACAAAACTCATTAGGTAATTTCAATTACACGACCGAGACTTCATTAGACCTCTGACCTCACTCAGAATAACCGCAGTAAAAAAAACTCCTTGTGACTCAATGTGAAACAACCAAACGTAAACAGCTCTATAAATAAAAGCTATAATAAAACTGGAAGAGATAAATAATGTAGCCAGATGTTACGGTGTCAATCCAGAGGTTTAGGGTTTGAGAGGTTGGCCGGCCGTCCAAAAACAGCCGCCGCCAGCAGCTGAATCACTCCTAATTGGCACTTAGAGCTACGATAGAAAGCACCGACCTGCCTCCATACAGCAGATTTATACCTTTTTATACACAAGTACGCTCCTGCACCGGTTGGTTGTATCTGGAAGGTTTATGGTAATAACATTGCGGCGGACCAACAGTCATTAAGACGAATCTATCATCCTGTTTAGGCCAAGCTCTGAGTCATTCTTCAGAGCCAATATTACAAAAAAAAGCAGAGAAAAGGAGGGGACAGATGTAGGGAGAATAAATAACAAAAGAATGCAGGAGAGGGAAAAAAACACATATTAGAGACTTGTGAAAAGAAAATATGGGAGACAGAACCTAGATCAGATACGGGGAGGAAATAGGAGAAGATATAGGGTCTATTAGTGCTGCATTTCTCTCATTTCCTGCTTTATTATGGCAACTGCACTATCACAAAGAAATGATTTCTCTCTGTGTTGGCTTCCTCAAAGATGACTGTGTTAGCGGCCCTGTTCCTGTGTACCCTGGGGTTTATTAGAAGGCAAAAGGCATCTCATTGTCTGTGTTTGGAAGGGGAGGAGGTTGGTAGCCTGGCCTGGAGCATAAAAAAGAAAAAAAAAGACCCTGAAGTGGCCGTGCACCGGCTTCTGATTAGCTGGGAGCCTGCTGTGATCGTCGGACTGTCACTGACCTCCTGGTGGACTCATCAAATTATCCATCACACAGTGACTCCAGTCCACAGCATCTCATTCATCACACAGTCTGCTCATGCCATCACTATCCCTCATTTTGTCAAGTCTGAAGCAGAAGCTAATAAGCTGAGGCACAAATTGGTGAGCGTACATTGGGAGTGTTCGGAGAAGAAGGTTGATTATTAAACAAAAACCGCACAAGCACTTTAGAGAGTACACGTTTCCAGATAGTTTGTTTTGAGAAATAACCGTCTTTGTTCCCCTATTGCAGAAAATAATGGTATATACATCACAAGCACAATTACCTCGACAGGAAGCTAGTGTTTAGTTTCATGTTCTCTCTTGTTTAAATGCCTCTAATTAGCCTTGGTGAAAGATAATCACCAGCCAAATCTGCCTGCATCTGTGTGACAATCTCCCCCCCCCCCCCCCCCCGCAGCCATCCACCATGTGGAGCGCTACCTCTCAACGGAGAACAAAAGCAAAAATGAAGATTGAAAAGGCATTGTACCCGGTGTTCATTACGTAGTGACGGGCGTCCAATGAAGCCCAGAAGCCTCATGTAAAATGCTAATTAAGAAAGGACAAGGAGCCGACTCCAATCTTTTGTCAGGATCCAGCTTTATAATGTGATTCAGCTTCAGACTACAGATAAGAGGTCATCCTCCTGACATTTTGTAATTTTTGGTCACGATTTTACCCCTAATGCTATTATACAACATGTCTCTAGCTCATTAGGAGATGTGCAGATTTCCTGATAATGAATTGCAGCCTCGAATCCTGATTTCTCTTCTGTTTGCCCTATTTGTATTCTCTGCATGGGGGTGCATCGGCTCAGCTTCTGCACAAATGATGTGTACCTCTCCGAGAATAGGTGAGCCTTTCTGCATAATTCAGGACACGTCATATTTCTCTTTTTTTCCCCCTTGCGACTTTTTTTATAGGCGTATCCCCCCACCAGCGTCCCACGTTATGTATACATCAACCCCAGATGTCATTTAACCCCTCCCTCTCATCCGCTGCTGTATGTCTCAAGCTATTTTACATAAAGCTCTCTATCTTCACAGGCTTGTACCGTAAATATATAGTTGATCAGTTTTTGAAATACGCTTCCTTGCTGAGAGTAAGATGAGAAGATTGACACCCTCATATCTGTATAGTAAATATAAAATGAATAAATGCGTTAATAGAAACAGACAAAATCAGCTTACCTGGCTCTGATATAAAAAATATATATCACAGACTCTAAAAATAACTAATTAACACATCATGCGACAGCCTCACGGTGACAACAAAACCACAGGAAGTTACTGGGAAATAAAGCTCTGAACATAACACCTGTAAAACTAAAATGTAAGGTTTTCACATCTCGGTTTTCGAACAGATTAAACAAACTAGACAGGTTATAATGTGTTAATTGGGGAGTTTTAGAGGTGCTGGTACAGAGAAGAAGTTCACAATGCTTCCAGTAGGCTAAGATAATCGTCTGCTAGCTGTAACTTTGTTCATCACCTACAGACATCGACCTTCTCATCTCACTTAGAAAACAGCCAGTTACCACATTGTTAGCTTTATCGTCTTACTTATCAGGGTTGTATCCCTCCAGCTCCTCCAGGAAGATGTTGCTGTTGGTGACGCTGTTGTCCTGGTTGGGCATGATGAGGAACTTGAGGATGTTCCCTCTGCTCGACCCGAGGAAGAGGACGGTCCGGTTCCGGTGAGGCCCGGCTTCTGTATCCACCACGATCTTATTCAGCTGGTACCTGGAGAGGTTTAAAGCACTCCATTTAGAGCTGCGTGACTCATTTGGGACATTTTCTTCTTTAAAAGATAAAAGCACGGTGAAGCAGCTCCCAGCGGCACATTTATGATTTAAGTGCATTACAGCTGATTGGTTTACTATAGGTGTAAAAGACGCTTTTAAATCATAATATTTTTCTCTCGAGTCACTGCAAAATGAAGTGAATTCCATAGAGACGCAATCAAATTTGCATAATAAACTAATTATGGCAGACGTTCAGTCATTAATAATATCAGTCAAGTAAATGGGTCTGTGTAGCAACAATAGCAGAGTGTGGCTGAACTACACACCGTCCTGTGTGAGTCAATAGACAAGAATAGAGGCCATGTTGTGCCGGCTGTTTAATATTCCTCATACATCGAGTTCCCATAATCCCCTGGTGGCTGGTGGGCAGCGGGACTTCATATGGCGGATTGTGCAGAGAGAGAGAGAGAGAGGGAGTGCATTTATGAGCTACAGCTGCTCCACTGCTACCAGGCTTCAGCACCCAAAGTGTTTAAACTCAACAGAAGGAGCACACCCCAACACACACACACACCATATGTGTGTATACAACCCTGTTTCCTATACTGTGAAACATCAAGTTTAAGTGGGATCAATTAGTATTTGAATAAACAAGTTATATATATCATGTTACGTCCCGTTAAAAAATGTACATTAACAGACCATTTCCGAATGAATAACATTACTTCAAGTCTTTGAATCATGAGTTGATTGAATGCAATGCTCAGTGCTGGCTGAAGTCATGAAAATAAGTTTCTAAAACACAGTCAGATGATTTCCCAGCATGCATTGTTTGTCTCCAGAAACACTTTTTTTTGTGTTTCTAAATTTGCTTTGCCAAATACAAATGGATGAAAACTTAATTAACGCTATGATTATGTTGAATAAAAACAGTTTTTTATGAGTGGAGTTAGTAGCTAATGGAAATCATATAAAGACTGTCAGGGTGGATGACTGGAATACAAAGCATCAAAGTAAGGATATGATTATGTTTTTTGTTAAATGATCATAAATCATTGTTAACAAAGTCATTTTTGTCCTTTTTAATATCCTCCAATATCTCCACCTAATCTTGATAAACCTCAAAATAACCATGAAAAACTTGTTTTATGCTTCGGTTGAATATCAGTGAAAATAATATTTGAGCATTATAAAGCTTCTCCGAAAATGTTCATTAAAAACATTCCATGCCTCTCTGTAACATAATAACTCAGGGACATGTTACACTGCTTATATGAGATCAGTCTCACCTGACCATGGTTCGTACAATCCAGGGTCTTTGTCCTAGAGAGGGGACGGCTTCATCCATCAGAGGATGGGTCTTGACGAAGTTGAGCATCTCATCAGGGAAGGCGGTGGAGGAGTTAAACTTGGATCCTTGAACAGCGCAGCCACCGGGTCTGGGGACAAAGCATTACAGCAGATGTTTAGCAGACCTTCAGTTGTGATTAACTCAAGCTTCTGTAAAGATAGAGTTATATAATAAAGCAGTCTAGACTGTCTGAATGTATGCCATCTATCAAACTTTTCAACAAGAGACTCATTCGATACAATCAAATTAACTTTATGTTTAAAGTATTTTGCAAGGCTATGTGCATGAGGTCAAAACATGCCTTTAGATTGGCACAGACGATATGCTGTATATCCTTGTGAAAAGTGAATTTCCCACCTCCACATACATTTGAGTTTACTGAAATGTCTACAGGCCTGGGTTTTAACATTCAATACCACACACTCCAAAACCAAACAGCTTTCTTGAATACTGACTGTAGCTGGAAGAGAAGCAATAACAAGAACAACTGGTATGACCTACTGTAATACCCAACATATATTTAATGGAAAGAATATTTCTTTCCATGAGGCTTCAAGAAAACCAATTTGAAGAAACGGCTTTAACAATTGGTTGTTTAAATGTTATGTAAGTTGTTCCAAAGCCATGCAGTTTGTGCAATAGTTCGCCCTTGTCAGTAGGTGTGTCTGTGGATGTCCAAGCTGTGAATATATACATACTGTACGTTTTTGGGGTTAATATGTTATTGTCTTTTAATGTGTGCTATGTAGTGTGTAGGATTTTTAATCTTTTGTGGAACTGCAGCAGGAGTCCAGAACAATAAAGTATATCGTATATAGAAAGTGCTTCATACATAGTTGAAAAAAGTTGACTGATTGATATTGTGACAGAATGAATACAGATTGATGTACATCAGAGTATTCCTCTGATAACCACAGGTGTGTATACATGTATTACAGCTCTCTGCACCTTGGCTTGGGGATGAAGTCATCTGGAACAGGTGTCCAAATGGACTCAGATGATTTCTGCTCCTTGAATCTCCCTTCAAACACCGAAGCCAGCTGCTCCATGTCGAAGGCACACACAGCCGAACCTGGGATACTACAGAGACAGAGAGGTGAGACGGATAGGTGAGACAGAGACAAGAGACAGAGAGGTGAGACAAAGATATGAGACAGAGAGGTGAGACAGAGAGGGGAGACGGATAGGTGAGACAGATAGGTGAGACAAAGATATGAGAGAGAGAGGTAGGACAGAGAGGTGAGACAGAGAGGTGAGAACAAGAGGTGAGACAGAGGGGAGAGACAGAGAGGTGAGACAGAGGTGAGAAAAAGAGGTGAGACAGAGAGGTGAGACAGAGAGGTGAGACAGAGAGGTGAGACAGAGAGGTGAGACAGAGAGGGGAGACGGATAGGTGAGACCGAGAGGTGAGACAGAGAGGTGAGACAGAGAGGGGAGACGGATAGGTGAGACCGAGAGGTGAGACAGAGAGGTGAGACAGAGAGGGGAGACGGATAGGTGAGACAGAGAGGTGAGACAGAGAGGGGAGACGGATAGGTGAGACAGAGAGGTGAGACAGAGAGGTGAGACAGAGAGGGGAGACGAATAGGTGAGACGGATAGGTGAGACCGAGAGGTGAGACAGAGAGGTGAGACAGAGAGGTGAGACAGAGAGGTGAGACAGATAGGTGAGACCGAGAGGTGAGACAGAGAGGTGAGACAGAGAGGTGAGACAGAGAGGTGAGACAGAGGGGAGAGACAGAGAGGTGAGACAGAGAGGTGAGACAGAGGGGAGACAAAGAGATGAGAAAGAGAGATGAGACAGAGGGGGAGACAGAGGGTGAGACAAAGATATGAGACAGAGAGGTGAGACAGAGTGGAGACAGAGAGGTGAGACAGAGTGGGGAGACAGAGGGTGAGACAGAGGGTGAGACAAAGAGATGAGAAAGAGAGATGAGACAGAGAGGTGAGACAGAGGGGAGAAAAAGAGGTGAGACAAAGATATGAGACAGAGAGGTGAGACAGAGGGTGAGACAAAGAGATGAGACAGAGAGGTGAGACAGAGAGGTGAGACAGAGGGGAGAAAAAGAGGTGAGTCAGATATATGAGACAGAGAGGTGAGACAGAGGGGAGACAGAGAGGTGAGACAGAGGGTGAGACAGAGAGATGAGACAGAGGGTGAGACAGAGGGGGGAGACAGAGGGGGGAGACAGAGGGTGAGACAGAGATATGAGACAGAGAGGTGAGACAGAGGGGAGACAGAGAGGTGAGACAGAGGGTGAGACAGAGAGGTGAGACAGAGGGGGGAGACAGAGGGTGAGACAGAGGGTGAGACAGAGGGGGGAGACAGAGGGGGGAGACAGAGGGTGAGACAGAGATATGAGACAGAGAGGTGAGACAGAGGGGAGACAGAGAGGTGAGGCAGAGGGTGAGACAGAGAGGTGAGACAGAGGGGGGAGACAGAGGGTGAGACAGAGGGTGAGACAAAGAGATGAGAAAGAGAGATGAGACAGAGAGGTGAGACAGAGGGGAGACAGAGAGGTGAGACAGAGGGTGAGACAGAGGGGGGAGACAGAGGGTGAGACAGAGGGTGAGACAAAGAGATGAGAAAGAGAGATGAGACAGAGAGGTGAGACGTCAACTGATAAACCACTTTGAAAGAACATGAAGTCCTGTGTTAGGCTCTACTTTCTAACAGCAGTACAGAATGAATACATGTCAGAATAAAAAGGTAGATAATAATACCATCACTGAAAAATAGGCTGTGAAAAGTGAAAAAGCAAAGAAGTTTAAAAGTAGAAAGTATTTTGTGCAAAAAGGGAAAGGCTTCCAGCGAAGGTGACAAATTGGATTTGGGCTGTTCCTATTTTCACGTTGAACATTTCAACACAAAGGAAATTGTTACTGAGACGGATAGAAAGGCTGGATAAGATATTCGTCGTCAACTCCGTGGGCGAAGAATAGACATGCGGCGGATGCAATAGCTAGATTAGACACATGAAAAGATCTTGGCTGGAATTCCTGGAATATAAAAGGAAAAAGGAAATGAGTCACTGAATATTTTCCCTTTCACAACTTGTGGTGGGGAGGGGGTTCTTTTAATCCTTACAACACATCCAAATAAAAAGAGCACATCGGAGGCTGCTCAACTGCTCGTGAACCCTGCCACAGGGAACACAGCATCTGCTCCGGGAAGTGTCCATATCCTACATGCACACTCATCCAAAAACACACTATCTCCGCACTGAGATGCTACATCAAACACAGAAGTAAAGAGAGGATAAGATAAGGAATGAGTTTTTGAACAACATCCCATGCTTCACGCTCCGAGTCCCGCCTCTCTGCTCTGGATGTGTCCTCGCCGATGACTAATGGAGTGCGTGGTGTGAGAGCTAGTGACTAAGAGCTAATACCTTATACACGCATTGAGAAAACCTGAGAGACTGAGTCACGTTCCACCTGCTGCTACAAAATCCCACATCTCTGTTTCTGCTTTACTCTCTCCTTCTCGTTTGATGGTCATGATTCTGAGCCGTGGTGCTTTTGAGTGCCCCCTTGAAAGCCACTGAAGGGTTTGTTTGGTAAGGCAGCGCCCGGAGGCTGGATTTCGGGTTGCAACCGGGAGTCATGCCATTTGATCAGGTCACGCCGTCTCCCTCAGTACTTATCATTCATGGGCAGGGATGTGACTCAACCCCGGCCAGCGTGGCGGAGCTGCAGGCGGATCCGATACGCCGCCTCCCTCTGGGCCGCCGGCACCAGATGTTATGTGTGACATGTCTGCCAGCTCTGCACGGTGCCAGCTTGGCTTCCTTTTCTCTACCTTATCCCCCCCCCTGCAGGTCACTGAGTCTGCCCCACGTCGGGCGCTGGGTCTCGCAGAAGAGAGCCAAAAGGCCTCTGGCTGTTTTTCCCTCTGAATGTTGGCTAATTAATTACATTTCCACTGTTTAGTAGTCTCTCCTTCCTTTGTAATCCATGTGTGTCGATTTCTTCTAAACAACTTCCATTTTCGACCACTTTTCTTTCTCTCTGTCCACTCGTTCTTCACTCTTTCTCCTTGACTAGCGTTGAGTGACAGGCTGTCCAGAGAAGATACATAGCTCGTCCGTTAGAGAGGACTGCGAGGAGTCTGAAGTACTTCCTCACTGTTTAACAAGCTCTCTGTCAGCTTGGAATAACACAAACAGTCCTCACAGACACGTGATGCCTCGTCAGGTTGGATAAGGAGAGACAAGTGGGAGTCAGGGGAAGTTTCAATGTCAATCCTGTAATTAGGGGTTTAACTTTGACAAATGTAGAGCATTTTAAAACTTTGGGATGTATTAAGTAAACATAGACCATGTGAAATATGGTATCAATAATCACATGGGAGCTTTAGCACTGCGGTTAAAAGGTTAAAACATTTAAAGGTCAGAAACCCTACACACTTAGTCTGACTCTCTGTATGTATACTGTACAAACTTCTCTCAGAAGGTCTTTGTATATTTTCCCGGATCATTTTCATTATATTTTTTTAAGGCTTTGTTTTTGTTAACTTCATGGATAGGCTTGACTTACATTTCCACTATCTTAGAATGGATCCAGAGGGCTTTCAGATAAACTTTGTGAACGTTTCAGAGCAAAATCATATAAACATGATGGAATAAACTTTGCAAAGGACATGGCCAGCACTAAACTTACTGACCTCTGGTCCAATCTACCCAAAATGTGTTTTGTTAGTTCGATGAAACAAGGCTCCACTTGTTTCTTTAGAGACAAAGTTTGACATTTTCGGTACTTATTTGTTTTCTTGCCTGGAATTAGATGCTATAAAAGTCTGGTGAACTTACATTTGTTACAGAGCAGACATACAATCCTTCAAACACCAGCTATTCAGTATGCAAATCTATCGCTTCTACACTTATTATCTTTCAGCACACATACTATCGGGCACTGGGATATAAATGTATTTTTCATCATTTTTAATAGTCCTCCAGTGCAGACCAATTTACATTCATGAAAGAATATAGCTCAGATATCAAACCTACATCACAAAAAGTTTCATATTAAACCAGTGAAGCTGTTCAAACCTTTAAACTTAGGCGCTAATAATAAGACTTTTCTTTACCTCGCCTTAACTTCTTTAAAAAATATTATTTATCCTCCCGCACACCTCTCAACTGATCTACTTTCTTTTTTGTATTCTAACAACCCTAATGTATCATACTTTTCTTTGACCTTTTCACATCAGCACTCTGTAGATTTTCCTTTTTTTCTACATCCAGAGTATCCAGGCTCATGTGGACCCCTGTAACAACTCTGTTTTTCCTCGTGACAAGGACCCTGCTGTCCAATACACATGGGTTCCCTCCCCAAGTCTATTTCTTAAGCCCTAGCTAGATAACTCACTATGTATCCCCTTGTTTTCTCTACTTGTCTCGGCCCCGGGGGGACTAGCGCGCACATCTGTGCATCCTCCTGTGTCACACTTCTTCTGGAACAGTAAACCTGTTCTCCTGTGCTCCTTGTCCTCCTTGTTTCCCCTCCTCTGCTGTGTATACCCAGAGGGTCTCACATCTGTCTGACCCCAGTACATGGGACATGGGACATGGAATTCCTTACGACTGAAAACAAACATGGCCTCCTACGTTCAGGATGCACCAGATTTATTTTACTTTGCATGAGATGTTTTTTCTTGCATTCCTGTGTGGCTCCATTAAGCCTAATGAGACCACGTTAGTCCGCTCCAGCAGCAATAGACATTTTCAGCTGCCAAAACAAAAGCAAATAAATAATTGTTTGTTTTACGTACTTGTCCAAGGATGCGTGGTGACGCTAAGACTTCCATGAAACATCTTGCTGCTGTTGTTTACAAGGGCAGCATTAAAACATTTTTAGGCTGCTGAATAAAGTTACTTTTCTGTCCTTCTCCCCAAAGGTCTCATATTTGTATCCTCCCTCTTTTGAGTTAGCTGCTGCTCCCGGTGCCTCCTTGACCTCTTGAGCTTCAGGAGTGCGAGTGCAGGAGGTGCTCAGTAGGAAATCCGAGATGTTCTTTCATCCAGTTTTGAAAGGAAGGGCCTGGGGCTTCAGAGGTGGATGCACGCAGGAACTGACAACTGGAGGTGATTTTTACTCTGACAGTAAAGAGTGAATGATCCCACACACGCAACTTCATAACATTTCAGGAGCTGGTTTATGCCTGCAAAATGATTCCTTGAGTATGCGAGCACAGGAGGAGATGAGTAACTTCTCAGGGCCCAGGGGAGACTCTAGGAGGGCCAGTTAAACCTCAACTTCATCCCATTATTCCCATTTCTACAGTCCCATATATGCTGCCCGGGGCCAACTGGCAGGAGAGAATAGCTTTTCCTTTACTCCCAGGTCCTGCCTCATGCTGTTTTCCCTGCACGCTGCCAGCCAAAGCAATTTGTCCGGCAAGCACTTCGCCAGTGTGGCACAGTGGGCCACTGGGAGTTTTGCAGCTCACCTCACACATTCTCGCCGTCTCTTAATGCTTATTTCCCTCCATCACACGTCTCCTTATCCATTCATCAAACCCCCCCTCCTTTCGCTTTCTCTTGGCTGGCAGTTATTTAAAAACCGGACCCAGTGGCAGTTTACCCAAGCAGGGGTGTGTGTGTTCAGCTGGTTCTCCTCGCTGGCATGCTGCAAATGCTGTTATCTAGGAACCATTGTGAGCATGTTTGTGCATGTGTGTGTGTGTGTGTGTGTTTATGTGTGTGAAGCATCCATCTGTCTCTGCAGGCGGTGGCTTTCTCTCGCAGCGTAGTCCTTCCAAACACACAGATAAGATGCAGCTGATGAAACCGTTTTAGATCTCAGAGCAGGGGATGCACGTGTTGTCCATTATTGACTTCCTCGTCCTTGAGTTTCTCATCCATCTCCCCCTCTTGTTCGCCATCTCCCTCCTAATTCTCCTCTCTGTCTTCTCTCCTTTTCCGATTTATATCCACTCGTTGCTCTCCTTTTCTCTCCTGTCCTTTACCCACTGCTTTGAGACACTGCCCTGCAACTAGAATCTCGATATATACAAAAGAAATAAGAGATGGTATAATACTGGGATCTTTGACAATGATGACTATGCTGCTGGCTGCGTTTAAGTGGGACACTGTATTGATTCCAGACTAGTCTCAAAGTGTTTCTATATGTTTTCTACAATGTCCTGCAGTGCTAGACACCGTAAGGGCTATTAAGTTTCCAGAAGTGAGATATCACAGAAAAAGTGTCCTGAATACTTTCTATAATTTGAGCCACTTATACTGCAATATGCTGTAGCAATACATCATTGTAAAGTGGACAAAATATGTTTATCCCATAGACTATATATTCTGTATATCCCTGGGCAACTTGGAGGATTTGACCACACACATTTACATGCACAAACAACACTATAACACACTACAGGAGAGTGTTAACGCCAGAACCCAGAGGGCTTATTTGAGGATTACATTTTTCTTTCTAATGTTCATAATACAAAACTCAACACTAGAACATTATTGCCTCTCTATTCAGAAACTCATTTCATAATTCAGGATTTGAAGTATACGTCTCACATAAATATGTTGCTCACACTCCAGACTCTCAGCCTCAGTTTGGTGTGTGTGTGTGTGTGTTGTCTTTACCCACAGTCTTCAATAATCCCCAATTTACTGTGCAGCATCCTTCCTTTTCCTCTCTTCGCCTCTCACCTTTTTTCAATTTAATCTTGTCTTTCAACAAATCACGCTTTTGTCCTCAATGAAAGCTTTCCATGTGTCTTAAATTACTCTGTACCCCATGCTCCTGACCTCTGCTCCTCTTTCATTTCTCCTGAGGTCTGCCTGGCCTGTAGGAAGCCTTGCTCTTTCCGACTTCATAGCAGAGGGAACAGACTATGGTGGTCTGCTAAGTTTTCAAGGTGAGCAGTGTGAGTTTCACATTGCTTGTCTATTTCCCTCTCCATGGGAAGTGTGTCAGGATGTGTTGTTACGTCTGTGTGTTTCTTAACAACACTCTCAGGGTGATTGAATCCCCTTTTGTCTTTTTCCTAGCACGGACACAGATAGAAAATCCCTTCCACTTCAGTCTGGCCACACTAGCACTCCGAGCACGTACTTTATCCACAAATGCAGTCAAATAAAGCTTCTCATTTGAAGGCAGACAGGTAAGGTATTGATCTGGATCAAAGATTCATATCCAGGGTCTGCACTCCTGTCAGAGAATGTGGAAAGGTTGTGGAGCAGTAATGAACTAATTAATTAATGGTTCAAATAGTTAGCTTTGAGTAATTAAAAACAAGAACAACGGAGAATAAGGGCTAAATTATAAACTGTGTATATCCATTTTAAATAGTTAAAATAAAGTGTTAGAAAAAGTCATTCAAAAACACTTCAATTGGTTAAATAGAGAAAAAGTAATGGATGAATGGTTAAAATAGATAGTAAGTTGAAATAGTTATTATTATTATAGCTATTTGTGTGTGAATGTATTTAATTACCAGGGTCAATGCACAATAATCTCTTTAGATAACCTAATGAGAAGGAAAAGTTGAAATAAATACAGTAAAAGAAAATCTAAATAAATATAGTCTAACGCAAAAAATATAGTCCAACGCCAAAGTTAGAATAACCTTTGAAATACTTAGCTTAAAGAAATAGACAACGACTTGAATGAGTTATCTAAAAGTATGTAAAAGATAAAAAGTATATACAGCAGGGTTGATGGTAAAAAGTACAGGAAACCACCACTTGGACCCCCCTTTGAGTGCACATTTCTGAGAGGGAAGTGAAATTATTTCTGTGTTTCTGGTTAACAGGAGTTTATTTGCATGTTGTACCTGTTTGACGGTGTGGAGAACACCCCCAGGATGATGTCTCTGCCGTGCATCCTGATGATGGGGCTGGTGGAGTGGAGCAGGTTGAAGTAGAAGTGGGAATCCCCGGGGACAGAGCAGTTCAGACGGGCCTTCAGGAACGACGTCCACTGCTTCTCCAGGACGCGCTGAGACCCTCCCAGATCACGCTTGCACACCCGCGCCACGCGCGACACCATCACCTGTGAGTCATGAGGCACAGAGACGAAAAGGACATTCAGACAGGTGTATCTGTACAAGCACAGCTCATATATAAATCAAATGATACGCTGGGGGTGTAAGCTTTGTGTTTCATCTTCAAAAAGACACATTTAAAAGGTGTTTGGAACTTCAGAGTGATCTCTCCAGAGTAATTTGCATGCTATTTGCAACTGTTTCTTTTGACACATCATTGTTTTATAATGGTAAAATCTAATATCAATTATTCATAAAAATGTCAGCGCATTTAAAAAATGGCTTCTTTGAACATCCTCACCCACACAACAGTGACGCTGTTTAAGTATCCATTTACTCTGATCTCTGTACACATGTCAAAGACCTCGTGCAGGCACTTATCCCCAAATGAGAAATGTTAATTTTTAAGAGCAGATCCTGACGCTGATCTATATAATAATGATGCATCTCCAGCTCTGGTAGGGACGGGCCATGTACAAAGCAATTACATCGCTTTTTCTTAGGTCAATACAGACATGAAATGTTTACTCAGACCACTATTTGTTGGATTAGATACACAGACAAATAAGTACAAGGATGAAAGGTCAGTGCAGCTGTGGGAAAAGAGTTGATATTGACATTCAAATAATAGCAGCGGAGCGATATTAGAGCGGCACTTAATTGTTTATGGCGTTGCATTTTAACCACACATTCCTCCACAGTCCTTTTAAAAGATGCTCTGAATGGACCGTGTGAATACTGAGAGTTCAGAAGGACAGGAGGATATTTTTCTCATCAGAGTGACTCCTATACCTTCTCCAGGTAGTTGAACTCCATGGCTATCTCTCTGAAGAAGAAGTAGATGTGAGGTCCCCACTCCACGGCACTCACAAAATACGGCTCTGTATTGTGAGAGAGGGAAAACGAGAGGTAGGGAAATATCATGAAATATGGATGGTGCAAAGAGAAAAGCAAACAGCAAACAGTGTCTCCATTTGCAAATGCATCCTTCACTCCCACGATGTACCATTAGGGCAGTGAGAAAGAGGCACAGGCCATGCTTAATTTCATTACATGGTGAAAGGGGATTTCACACCAAACAATAAGCGCATTATGACTCCCTGATGCTTCTCAGAACTCGGTTTCACGCTATGCATTTTGGTGCTTTTACACCCGGGACTATAACCTGTGTCCGATTCGTTTTTACTGTCTCATGGTTATAGTTAGGTTCGACTGTGATGTGGATTTTCTGTCGAGCAGCGGTACGTCTGACAGCTTCCCTGTCCGATGACCTGAACGTGGAGTTGTCAGGCTGCTGACTCAGTGCTTCTTCTACTGACACCAGTATCGATCCTGCATGCAGCTAAGTGATGTGGACACACACTCAAAACTCCAGCCTCTGGTGCACACACACACACATCTGCAGGTACCTCTGAACCACTTGGAGTCGTGCTTGACGGTGCGCAGCGCGAGACTGTCCCCAAGGCTCCGGTAGATCACCGCATCGATGGCCAGGAAGTCTGTCACTGTGGCTGTAAACAGATTTCCCTCTGACACACACACACACACACACACACACACACACACACACACACACACACACACACACACACACACACACACACACACACACACACACACACACACACACACACACACACACACACACACACACACACACACACACACACACACACACACACACACACACACACACACACACACACACACACACACACACCAGTTAGTTGGACAGCCTGCCAAAGAAACAGTATGACTACAGACAATAAAGCCTGAGATATCATCAGCGTTTTATTAAAGTCCTGCATCACAAACATGCCCTGTCAATAATATAATTGCAGTGCCATAATTGCAACAGCACTCCTACAGTACGCATATAAAAATCGTCTTTTCTTTTTTTAGTTAATATCAGATGATGGCATTAAAGCTGAACAGTTGTGGCTCACTACAGTTTTAGCTGCCAAACACGGTTGATTTTATTAAAGTGGAGTGTTTTCAGATGAAGTAAACAAAGCAGATGAATGAAACCGCAAAATCACAATTGCTCCCTTTTGTTGAGCCTGCAGCATGAAGCACATTCAATGTAACTACTTAGTTTTGTGTATTCACGTATTCAGGTGAAAATTAAAGGATGAAACTAAAAAGGTGCGTCTTACCTGCAAACCGAGCGACATTAGCGTGCTTTGGGTCATAGGGGCATCTCGCCATACCACTGACTGTGTCTCCTACCATCTCCAGAGTGTCTCCCTGACACACACACACACACACACACACACACACACACACACACACACACACACACACACACACACACACACACACACACACACACACACACACACACACACACACATTAATAAGCACACTCCAAACAATTTGAATGCATCTACAGCAGCATTATGAAAACAAGCCACAAAGAGAATGACAATTAGGGAGTGTTACGGTAAGTGCAAACTAATAACTCACTGGTGCCAATTAGGCAGAGCCGCAACAACAAGAGAGTCACATTCTCATGCATAAATAACACACACACACACACACACACACACACACACACACACACACACACACACACACACACACACACACACACACACACACACACACACACACACACACACACACACACACACACACACACACACACACACACACACACACATAGATGGTAGCCAAGAGCAGCGGATTTCAGCAGCAGTCTAATTCTCATTCACGGTTGAAAAGGAAATTATTTATGTGTGATTTCATTAAAAACATCTATAAATAACACAGCAGCTAGCGGTGCTAACTGGTCTCCAGAGACACAGCAGCCTATCATGCAGAGACAGGTGTGTTGTTCACCGTTGTAGAATGTCATTAGTGGCTGACAGATAACAGGCCAGGTACGTCTCAGTGTTTCAGACTGTTTGAAATGTGAGAGACTGAAAATAACACTTTATCTGAAAAAGCTTTTCATAGTGAAAGGAATTTTTTTAAACCCCCCCAGCAGCATGATGTGAAATAAGTCGACGATTAATATTAATGTCTGGTTTTTCTTCCAAAAGTTTGAAATGGTTGCTGTAATGGAGCAGAGCGGGCTATAGGGTCAAGGACTGGACACAAATATGTTTTCAGCCAAGAGCCAACCCATAATCATCCGTTATGTAAGGCTTATTAATATGGATGTATAGAAATCAATGTTTTTCCTCAGAGATAGTTCACTAGTTGTTACTAATAACTTTTATACAGTTTTAGGATGACTGTAGAAGTTAGATGGTCACTACTGAATGTATACTATATATCCCTAATAGTCAGGAGAGGAGATATATATTGTGAGCCGGGTTGGACTTAAAAAATATAATCTGTTACAATTACTAGTTACCTGTTAAACATGTAATCAGTAACCTTATCTAACCATCACTATATACAAGTAATGCAACCTGATTACTTCCTGTTACTTAAGTCAATATCAAATGCAATGCAAATAAATACAATACCAATAAAAGTGCACATCTACAGTAAATAAGGCAAAAATAAAATATAAGCAAACAGAAAATGCTTTAATACATACAGCTATATAAATGCACACTTTTATATGAATATATGGATTCCATGTTTTAAACTTAATTGTACCATTGTATTCCTGTTAGTAGTCCCAATTGTAACAGTTATCTGATCACCTTTTTTTATGTAACTGTCAGGAAATACAGTTACCTTTTTTTGTATCCTCATTACATGTAATCCAATCCTGATAGGGAGTGAAATACCGAGTTGTAGATTTGAACTGGTCAAAGATAAGCACAGTTTATAATATACTTGTGTAGGTATAAAAAGCCTGTATTAAATATTGCCTTTTCATAAGAGATACATTGTAAATAGTGGAAATGGAGTGATTTAATTTGACATTTTCTTTATTTACTTGGACAGAGTTGAGGGAATATTCAGAGGACACTGTGGCTAATGGATTCAGGCCAGTCGACTCCTACAGTCAATGCTTGAACCCTGGAGTCTTTAAACTTCTGCCTCCAGCTGGGAAATAGCTCTGCTTTCTTAACCACAAGCAAAATAAATCAAAGCGGGTCAACACATCATGTATCCACCCTCCTCCGCCCGCTCCACTCTTGCATTCTTCTTGATTATCCGTCTCTGACTCTCAACGATAACAAGCCTGGCAGACTGCAAAGTTTAACCACCGAGAAATAACTGTTGTATCTCAGGAAAAACATGGCGCTGGAACTGCCAGACACGGATAAGTAAGTCCTGGGGAGGAAGACAACGAAATGCTGAACAATCACCTTTAATCAAGCTGTACATTTTCACCTGACCAGACTCACTGATTGAGTTTGGGAAGCGAGGCCTCTGTTTAGGCAGAACAGACGTAAAAGCAATTATTGTGAGGTTTTCTTGTAGTTAACTCACAGTGTAGTTGGCACAGAGGGGGTTGAAGGCGTTGGTCCCGCACACAAACAGTCCCCCCGGTCTGCGGAGCAGCACCTTCATGAAGTTACGGCATTCATCCTGCAGAAACAAAACAGACACAAAGAGAGGGAGAGCTTAATATGCAGGAGGGGTAAAAGTGAAGGGAAGAAAGGCAAAATGATGGAGAGAATAGAGGAAAAATTAAGTTTATTTTTCAGAGACTGATTATCCAAAACCGCTCTGTGAAATGAAGCTTTTCAGTTGCCTGATGTGTTGAATTATCACACCATTAACGCTGTCAATCACATTGATATAGTCTGAGTATAGCCTGCAGAGACTTCAACTGTCTACCCCTCTTCACACATGCAAACATACACACACAAACAAACACACACACACACACACACACACACACACACACACACACACACACACACACACACACACACACACACACAGAGCCGCTGTTGATTGACAGGCGGTAATCCAAAACCAACCTCGGGATTTTAAAACAAGAAACAGATTTAAAGCTAATTTTCACACCGTGAGGCGTCAAACTACACGAAGCCCGCCTAATGACTAAATAAAGCCGAGTCACAGTTTAATTCTACCGTGCCTTTTCTTTGAAATGAGAAGTCGTGTAAGCACTACAGGACTAAATGGCTGCTTTAGCCCAACAGTGCTGAAAAGTAATAAATGTTGGTGTAGTGGAACGGAGAAAAATGACTTTCAAGTTAATCTGCTGCCTCGACAAAAGGACCGAATAGTGAGTCGGTGTTTTAGCAGGAATAATTAAACAGATGTAACCTCTGATATACACTGCTGTGAGGATCAAACAATACTGCAAAGACAACACCTCTTATTTTATCATTTCAACCAAGAAGCCATTACTTTTATCCATTCATTTACACTGCTTATACTGTATATTAGCCTAACTTAAAAAAAAAACTGTTATTACATGACTTTTGACTAATTACTTTAAATGCACATGTCTTTCTTTTCAATTAAGTTAAGTTGTACATATCTTCATTTAAAAAAGAAAGAAATTATATAATATTATATTGTTATGTTTCGTATTTTAAATCACATTTTCTCTTAATATGTTCATTTATTATACTAGAGCTAATTCATTTTAAGGAAAAAACATACTTAATAATAAACCAAATTCTGATTCTGATAGCTAACGCACTCTCAATTACAACATGTTAGCGTTTACATCTACTAAAATAGCACTAATAAAGAGAAAAAAGATTGTGAAAATATTTATTATTTATATATAAAAACTTTGACATGAGCTGTCAGCCGTCTGATTAAAGAGTTATTTCCTCTCAGGTTGTTTGATTTGTTGGATTGTTGAGCATAAAGGGTTGTATTTCACAAGAAAAACAGGTAAAATAGGATAGAAAAGTTATCGTATGTACAGTTAAGTTAAGGACAACGTTTTTTGTTCCTGCTTTCACCATCTTGTGACCCTCTCAGATTTATTTTAGGACTGCTTGGGAGGCCCTGATCCCGGGTCGGGAAGCTCTGTCTCAGGGGCTTTGGGTACAAAAACTAACATGAGGGTGAAAAAACAAAGAATCCATCAACAGTGAATCTGTGCTGGAATTTACATGACCTTTGACTTTATAAAGACAAAAAGTGCCGACAGCTGATTGCCTTCGCAGGGTGGAATCTGCTGGCTGTGTGTGTTGCGTGAGTGGTGATGTACAGTACTGTAGATCACTGGTGGACAGCAGCCAGCACCCCCCTCCCCAAACTACTAGCGTCCCAGTCAGGATGGCACCAGCTTTACACACTCACACACACACCAGATGGGGTCCACTTCAAGACCACCACCCGCACTGATCTCATCGGAAAGAGAAGTTGAGCCGCAGCAGAAGCGGTGGTGGTGATAGCGGGAATGTGAAATGACAGCCCGTACGTGAATGTGTGTGTGTGTGTGTTTGTGGGGAAGAGATCAGAGGGAAAGCGCTGATATGAGAGCCGAGTGAGTGTTATTCCAGATGCTCCACCCAACACCCTCCTACCTCTACACCTTCCCACTTCACTCCCTGCTGGGTTTTCGTTTTCCAACAGTACAAAAACAGGAAAGGAGGAAGTGTTCCATGTGTGAGTGTGTGTGTGTGTGTGTGTGTGTGTGTGTGTGTGTGTGTGTGTGTGTGTGTGTGTGTGTGTGGTGTGTGTGTGTGTGAGTTGGGGTGCAGAGTCAAGTGTGAGGTGTACATTTCTAATGGCGCAGCACTGTGTGACAAATTGCGGCGTGACAGTACATGTATGTCACTCCCACACGTTCAGCATGTTTGTGTGTGCCTGGTGCATATATCTTTGTGAGCGTGTGTGTGTGTGTGTGTGTGTGTGTGTGTGTGTGTGTGTGTGTGTGTGTGTGTGTGTGTGTGTGTGTGTGTGTGTGTGTGTGTGTGTGTGTGTGTGTCTCAGCACAGATGCAGGCTCATGTGTGAGAATCAATTGCATGCTGTTTGTCGGGGGGGTTGCAGTCTGTCGGGCTGGTCAGAGCTGTAATCACAAAGCGCGATGAAGCACTCTTAATAACAACCCAGAGAAACTGCCAGGCTCTCAGAGAGGGGAGGACACACTCAGAAGAGCAAAGTCGCTGCCCAATGTGCATTTGGCAGCGCTTACACACTAAAAATGACACATTTCATGACTGCAGAATACAAAAACAAGGGTTATATCCTTCATAACAGTTCAACTACTGAGTTTGGGTTGCCATTTGCACTTCAACACCAACAGAATCCGTCCCCTGCTGCATACCTGCTTTTCATTAAACCATATTCATCCATTCCAGGAAGCAATTTGGCACTTCCAAGTATAGGCCTTTCTTTATTCAGAACGCAATTCAGTGCGTAGAATTTTACTATGGTTTCCGCATAAAAATAAAAACCAATTACAAAGGATCAAGTACTGAATCAGGTGATTAGATATAAATCTAAACGTTGTACATCCTGGTGACTCCTTCCTAGCCCCTCTGCCTCCTACACTCCCTCGCTCCCTGGGAAGAATCCAGACAAAACGCCACCTGTGCTGGCTGGCAAGCACTCCCTCTCCTCTCCTCATCAAATCCTCCTCCTCATCCTCCTCCTCCTCCTGCTCCCTCCTCCTCCTCCTCCTCCTCCTCCTCCTCCTCCTCCTCCTCCTCCTCCTCCTCCTCCTCCTCCTCCTGACAGCGGCAGAGCTGCCTGGGCTCTGAAAAATTAATCTGCAGCTCAGATGAATTACACAGGAGAACGCGTCTGAGTGCAAATATGGACATAGTTGTGAAAGGAGGGGAGATTTAAAGAATGTGTGAAAAGATAGCAGGAGCTGGTACACAAGTGTGTGTATGTGTGCAAGTTTAAATATGTATATCCACTTTTAAATAAACTAAGCCTACTACGCAGCAGCTTTTTAATCCGTCTCTTGATCTTAGAAAGATGCAGATGTTGGACGGGTAAGTGCATTTATCACTTCTCGGCACAGGCACAGACATTTTCCATGGACACATGGAAAGCATGCATATCCAAAAGCAATCATAGACAGCAAGTTATCCAACACACACGCAGTCGGAGGATCGGCAACAAGTTCCCTGTTGCTACAACACATCTGCTCAAAACAACCTGCAGCAGTCAGACACCATTAAAGCTGAGGAGCATTCAAATTCTGCATCTGCTTTCTATCTGCTGTCCGGATCTCCACCTTTACTCTTAGACGATAAACAAACTTTCATTTGCCCTTAGCTAGGGTTCATGTTTGTTCTAATGATGAAGCTTTATCCCAAAAACGAAATGGGTTTTCACCTCGGGCTACAATCAGGATCGCCGCGTGGGTCTGAGCAAAATACAAAACAGGTGCATACGTCGTAAAATCGTCCTCTCATTTTCCTGCGTTACGAGCAACCACAGCATGTTTCATACTCATAAAATATAATAAGTTATGATGACTTTTTTTAGCAATGTTCGTACAATAGCAGCCATCTGTACATCAGGGGGTCGTATTTAGAAAGCTGCTCCTCTAAATCTCCAAAGTTTCCATTACATGCCTGGCTGGTCCCCTGATGTTAGCGACCAGGGAGAGGAGAGCATTGCTCTGCCAAGAAGCTACCATTGAGCCAGAACACTCCCACACACATGTACTGTCTACACAACACACACTCGCAAAGGTTTGGAGAGGCTCGTCTTCGCTCATTAACAACAGGATTGTCATTCCCAGAAAAAAATCCCTGACATACAATTTTGTCTGAAAACAGCGATTGTTTGTGACAGGAGGAGAGAGAGTGTGTATGTTTGTGCACTGGTGGGTGGAGGATAAATCAGCAGCGGTACCAAATTAGCAGCAATGTGCTGTTCTGAGTGCTGCGGTCTTACTCAGCATGTTAAAGCTAATCCGCATCTCTCTGCAACCCTTCTTCTCAGTTTGACGGTAATTCGGACTGAACACACCACAGGCCACAAACAAAAATCCGACACCAGAGAGAGGGGGTGGAGCGAGGGGAGGGAAAAGTGATATTATAGAGATAGGGGGACAAAATCAAGAGGGAAGAGTGAGGTAAAGAGAGACAGAAAGAGAAAAGCAGAGTTTTTCCAGTCCAGTCAGCCATGTGGCAGCCTCAGCGGAGGAGCCGACCTGCAGCATGACCCGCAGATTGTGAGGTCAGCTGAGCTCCACTCCCCCGTGGAAACACACACACACACACACTCGCCGACCACAACACTTAACCTGAGTCACCCTTGGAAAGCTCTCTGTCTGATAACCTGTTGAGAAAGCGGTGGCAAATGATCAGATTAATACATTTACATATAAAGAATATGTTGGAGAGGAAGGCTCAGCACAAATTGGTCCAATGCAAGTATTTTATGCCAAAGCCAGTAATTCACTAAACCGTCATCAGGGCAATTTGGAAAAACGATATTTGCACACCGGAAATACTTGGCTGTAGATCCCTGGGTCAAAATAAAATTGAAGAGGAAATAAGTATCACAAGTTTCTTAAGGGAAATGAATTCTGCACACACATCTGGAACGCAATAAATGCCGATATAAAAGCCAAGGAATGGGAAACTCTGGTTCATCTCAACATTGTTGCAATGCAGTGCAGAGACT